TCAAGCTCACGCTTCGCTACGTATCGGTTTTCGCTTGTAATTTACTTACTTGTTGAAGCTGCCTGAAACACAATTGCCTGTATCCGTGGCACGAAAACCAGCCAGCAACGTGTCTATCGTTGGTAATTAACCCTGAAACCTTGTACGACTCTGATGCGTGATATATTACAGCTGGAAGAAATGTGACATGGTCGTGAAGTAGATTCTCTCCAGCGATGATGGATTCTCTGACATCGATGAATTATCACGACATTCAGACTCGTTATATCTCCGTATATGTTGTTGATCCAGGTTTGGTGTACTCCAATGTTTAAATTTGATTGTTCGTTTGCTTTTTCTAGCGCCACCGCGAATCTCATTTGACTCTATAAATTTATCAACAATTTCCAAAAGTGTTTTGAGCACCAGTTGGTTTGCTCAAATCGTTCGAAAGTGTAGAGTGTAACTTACTTCTCGTCGGAAATTCTCCAGTGAAAATCGAAAAATGAAATTTCTTTCAACAAACGCTGTGTTGAATCTACGCGTTAGGAATACAACGTAACAACTGCGAACGATTGACTAGTTAGAAAACACGAAACGTGATCGGTTGCTTGTTCTCGTGCGGGCGTAAATCAGGCAACGCGAGACGGAAGGAAACGCAGCTCATAAGCCGCGATCCTCGAGACAAAGAGGAAAAGTTAGGAAAACGATTAAACGGCTACGCGTTCTAACTTTCTATGCCAGTATTATACTTTCATATGAGCAGCCGCGAAGCGGCTTTTTACACGGGGCCCTACAATTTTTAACGCACTACTTGACGAGACTCGTTCGCCACGACGGCAGAGAAAGAAAAACCGAGTATTGCAAAATTTTTAAACCAGCCGTGATTTACGAGTCTGTTTAACCCACGTGATTAAAACGGTCGCGCGATTAACCAGTTAACTGCGTTCGACGTGCATATACGTTCAAAACTTCATCTCGGACTATACATTCGTCGTGTAAAATAAAAAATTACCATTGCTTTAAAAAAAAAAATTACCATACATTAAAAACTACAAATTTCAATAAGAAGTAATAAAAATGTCATTTGGTGGTACGTTTCCTCTATATTACCAATAAAACTGCTACGTATTTTATAAAAAAAGTTTGATTATTCTCTTTGGTATATCGGACATTTCCCTTTTTACAAACTGACAATGAGTGGATTATTTTTCCTAATGCATCTGGTATTCTCCGAATTGCTTTGAGAAGAGAATAATCAAACTTTTTTTTTTTATAAAATACATAACAATTTTATTGGTAATAAAAAAGAAAATATACCACCAAATGAATTTTTGTTGAAATCTAGAGTTTTTAAAGTGAATGGTAATTTTTTTATTTTACACGTCTACCAAAATAAAATTTGAATTGACGTGTATACACTGTTGTTAAACTGTCATATTTATGATGGGAGCATTTGTCCTACGTTCGACGCGTATACTCGTCATTTTTAAAACTAAATCCCGCAGTTAACTGGTTAATTGCAAGACGTTTTCTCTTCGCATAATAACTTCGCGTCTTTGTCCTACTCTAAACTGTGATTATACACGGCGTTGCTAGATGGCGTCCGATACTACGCGCGAGTTTTAGGTTATGTTCCCAGGAGAAACCTTTTGTTTTGCTACGAAAAGTGTGTCACCCTATCTCGTCTGTGGGTACGTGTAACAACGTACTGTTGTGTAGTATCTGAAGCTTTCAAGAAACCAGGATGATCGACTCCATTTTTTGCAAGTTTCACAATATTATTGTTTAGGCACGCGATTAACATACTAGTTCTTGAGAAATGAAATGATTTATCTATTGTACGCTCGCTCGTCGCACAGTAAATTGAAGGTAAATTTTTAAAAAATAGCGACTCTGCCTTGCGAGTTTGAACTCGATCGATATGCAATCATTTTGAATTCAACTCGATTCAACTTACATCGTTTCAAAATTACGCGCCATTTTAGAGGGAAACCAGAGCGCGCCAAGTTATTGGGTAATTTTCCATAAGCGATTTTCGTAATCGTTTCTCGAACTATCGCAACCTGTTTGCACAAAACCGCATTACCAGATGATAGAAAGTCATTAAAAAGAAAAATTATTATACGTCTACCGATACATTTTAATTTACAAACAAAGAAAAGTTCTTTGATTTAGTTAGCTGACTTTTTGTCAGAGAGGTTAAGTTAAACACCGTGGACTTTTTACTGATGAAACAAACAGGAAATTCTCCGGCGTCAAAGATTTTCGCCTCTTGTCCCTTTCATCTTTATTCATGGCACTCTAATAACCTCTGCACTTTAGGGACCTAATTTCCAACGGCGCCTCCAATTACCTTTACTTTACGTTCTAACATTCTTAAATTATTCGTAAACTCGGTTGATTGCTTTCTAACGTGTACATTTAATCCTTGAGTAACAGCGAAGCTATTCTACTTCGTTTATTCGTAGCATGTTTCAAAACGACATTAGCGATACCGTGTGTAAGTAAAAGCAATGACTTTTGAGTGAAAATCGAGAATCATTTTTTCGCTGCAATATCATTAGTTCCATCCAATTCATTGCGAAAAAAAATTTCCTTCATGGTGAGGAAAAATTTAAAAAATTATGTTTATTGTAAATTTATAAAACACAACATCCACACTCAAGGCCTGGATACTGTATAACGTGTTAATATAATTGTAATATTATTACACCAGAAAAAGAAAAAAAAAGTATAAGAAATTATTATATTAATAGAATTTCCAAAGTGATCAAAATGACCAATTTGTAATTTTTATTAGAAATTTTGTACACACTTGAGAGAGTTTTCGTAAAATACATAAATCGAAGCTTGTGTAATTTACAGTATTACGAAGCTTTTGTGTCTCTTTTACTTTAATGTCTCTGAAACGTTAACGTCTATAAAATAAGTTACGTTTAATAAAATTACCAAAGTGATAGAAATGATCAATTTGTAATTTTTATTAGAAATTTTGTACACACTTGAGAGAGTTTTCGTAAAATACATAAATCGAAGCTTGTGTAATTTACAGTATTACACGAGCTTTTGTATCTCTTTTACTTTAATGTCTCTGAAACGTTTAAATAAGTAATGTTTAATAAAAATAGTCTGAAAATAAGTCTGAAAATAAGTAACGTTTAATAAAATTACCAAAGTGATCGAAATGACCAATTGAGAAATTTCGTACGTGCAACGCAAATCACTTGAAAGAAATTTAAATGCATAAGTCGAAGCTTGTGTAATTTACTACATGAAGCTTTTTTACTTTAATGTCTCTGTAAGTGAAATTTTATGTATTTTTAGACGTTGATAGTTCTAACTTTAAACTGTTTCTTTCCATCGATTGTTGCTCTTACGTAACGTAACGTAGGAACAACCGCCCGGAAACCGCAGTGCAAAAGTTAAGCGAGACGATGAACATCGTTGTCGAAAAATTCCCCCTTCCCCTTTAATGTCTCTGATTGTAAGTTTTAAGTAAACTTTATGTATTTTTTAGACGTTGATATTTCTAACTTTAAAATGTCTTTCCATCGATTGTTGCTCTTACGTAACGTAACGTAGGAACAACCCCCCCGGAAACCGCAGTGCAAAGGTTAAGCGAGACGATGAGCATCGTTGTCGAAAAATTCCCTTCTCCCCTGACCCTGTTAGGATTTACCAGCGCGCTGAATTGCCAAGCGTTATGTTACTTTTCCCTAGGATCGTTAACATCGGGCCTCCTCCTCTGCAGGTAGCATATTTATGCTATCGCGAAATCCGAGATACAATGCTGGCCGATCCAGTTACATCGCCAGCACGTTTATGGTTTATGCGAAGCCTTCTTATGCTTGCATGACGCTCGTGACACACTACGTAAAACGCAAGTCTATCAACACGCCACGTCTCACCAGCATATATATTATTTCATCGTACATATATGGCTGTTGCTGACGTACAATAAAAGCTTTCATTCGTGTTGGCAAAAACGCCTGTCGTTTCGACAGTCACTGTATCAATGACGATGGGATCAGAGAGGATGAGAGTCGATAGATTCCGTCATTTCTGCCATAAGAAAAAAGGGCATGATGACTCGATAGATGTAACAAACGAAATCGTTTGGTTTTGTCTGCGCAAGTACGTGAAATCTTTGCTTTTTACTAACGACGACACACAATTCTTGGAATCAAACATACTCATTTTTGTAATCAGAAATTTACGAGTTATAGAGATTTTACGAATTTTTGTTAATTGTATCATATTGTAATTGTGATCAACACCTCGTTATTCGTTAGGTCGACGTCGGTCCCACATTCGTATAGCCGGTGTCGGACACTAGTGGATGTTTTTATTAACATAAAAAATACACGTAAAAAAAAACTATAATTTATATAACAAAAAATATATATATAAAATTCAGCTTCGTTTCAAACGTGTTGTACAAAATAATATAAAAAAAATATTTGGTCGAATATTCCTAGTGAAACGTGTATTTCGCCTCATGTTTCGATTGTTAAACAAAGCTATAAAGATAACTTAGGCGACCGCCGTCAATGCAACGGGCATTCAAAGTGAAAAACGAGATATCTCGCAATCTGACCTCTACGTTCTATTTACTAAGCATTACGATAGGTTTTATGATAGATATCAGAAGCTTTCATCTCCAAACCATCAAATCAATCAGCATTCAGTTTCGCTGGAAATAAGCCATCTGAAGTGTCGATTCATAAATTTCATACCTTCGAACAGATTCATCGTTGTCAAAGTAAAAGAAGAAGAGGCGACAATTTCAGCTGTGTTTGTTCGACGTCAGAGTGTTTAATTTTTATCATCCAGTGACGTCTACTTTACGTCGTTCACGTTATCGTTGAAACGATAGAACGAATTACGCGGCAACGTTGCGCGTAATCGGCAATAAAATCCGACGATCGTAAAGCGACAACCGCGAAAACAATCGTACGCTGACACGCCGAATAAGCCATTCTCTGTCATTGCATAATAAATGCTTCTTGTCGCTGAGTGAGAACGAGTGTGCCGATGCACTTCCACAGCTGGTTGGCGGATTTCGAAACCCGGATAAAAATTCCTCAATGACTCATTGATTCAAACTAATCGCGCATTAAGCCCCGCGATTGGTCGCGCTCTTTCCTTCTTTCATCAAATGGATATGCTAACCCCGTGGCATAACGGTGTATAACCCATGAATTACGCAATCACTCATGCGTGTCTTTCAAATCTCTCGATCTGCATAGTTCGAACGACTAAGCGTGCTGCTTTGTTTGAACGCGATGTCATAATTTTTTTTTTCAATTAAGCAACGATGCCTTGCTACGAGGTTTGCCAATTTCATGGTTTAATTAGATACACTAATATGATAAATATTTTGACGACGATTGTGTTTGAAAATAGTGTAGTCTCTTGTTCTCTGAATAAAAGATCGTTCTTGGTCTTAACTCTTCAATTCTATGATTGCTGTATGATTAACAGTAATTTCCATTAGTATTACAATAATTAAATAAATAACTGAACTATAATTCTGTGGAAAAAGAAATAAAAAACTTGAAGCCTCTACTTAGTTTATTTTATATGTTTTTACACAGTGCAACAGATGGTAAATTTTCTTCTCGAAAGTTCAATAAATCGATGAAAAAAAAAAAAGAAAAAAACGTGCAGCAAATTTTGAGGAGATTTCAATCTTCAAAATCTATCGTAGATTCAGTGATGAGAAGCATTTTCCAATGTTTTCACATACTGTGACATAATCTATAGTATTCTGGAGAAAGAAAGTGCCTTCACTTTATCGTCTGTTGCTACAATCCAAAAACGTCTTGTTAGAAAAAGGTGTATGAATACGTATTTCAAAAGCAGAGGCTTCAACCTTCAAAACGAATCCAGGTTTATTGTCACGCGATCTCCTTTTACAGTAGTTTCGATGTTTAGTGTTCCGAATATTACCGGGAGAAATAAAAAAGAAGAAAAAAAATCTTGTTTGTTAATTCATGAAATCACGGCTCCACGAAGAAACATCGAACGAACCGCGTCTATCCAACAGCGCTCTATGGGCATAGAAAGTGCATAAATATGTATGCCAATTCCGTTTGCAAAACTGCTGAGCCTTGACCGGTAGAAGTGGAATTCCCTTGAAAGAAAGAAAAAAAAAAAAGGAAAAGAAAAATGCAGTTTTTTTCTATTTGCACAAAGCAGACTGCTATTTGCAAATACGCAGTACAAACGTACCTGTTATTTTACCTCGAGAAACAAAATATCTTTATTCGTTTACATAAGTACGATCTAACTACACGGTCACGAATAGACAAAAGAGAATCGCATGACGGATCAGTCCGACATTTCAAGGAGACAACTTTCCGATTAGTCCCTCTCCTAGTCGTCGACGTAATCTGTTCAATCTGCGGTGGTGGCCAATGTGCGGTCTTATCATCGTCACGCTAAGCAATTCCCCTTCGTAAAGAAAATCATCCGTATTTGCTATATATTCGCTCTATGGGTTTCTTCTAGGAAAGCACGGCTCACATAATTCGATTGAATCTGCTCGTCAATCGAGAAATCCTAATTTCATTCCGACAGCGTGAGAGTATCAAACACGTACAGTGACTCCCCATTAATGTTCGTACATTAAACACATTTGTTATAAATTCGTGAAACAAATTAAATTTTTCGTGCAATAATGAATCTGGATTCGTGAATTTTGTACTTGAAGTCTCTAACCCCATCTAATATTCAAGCTTCGATAAAACTGCCATTGTAAACAAGAGGCTTCGATCTTCAAATCTATTCTAGATTCAGTCGTTTCAATATTTTGACAGAGTACGATAATTTATAGTATGTTTGAGAAGAAAAGATACTATATATCTTCATTTTTCCAGCTACGTGACGTAAGGACACCTTAGAATAAATCGAATAGTACGTTTCGAAAGTAGGAGCTCCGAAACGAACGCAGGTTTATTTAGTAAGAGTGACAGTTTGTTATATAATGTCCGAAATTATTTAAGTCCCTGAAACATTAACGTGAGCAACTGTACGTACACACAAGTTTCGGCACGTGAATGTTGATTGCTCGAAGATACGCTGCCGTTTTATTCGCTTCAATCAAGCGAATTAATTTTTCTGCGAGGGAATTGGCTTTCCTATTTCTCCGAAATGAGGAAAGTGATGAAGAAAGAAGGGGTTCACGGAAGACCACCAGGAGAAGTTTCACGCGGTGGTTGCGCAAGCCGCGAAACAATTAGATGTAAATCCCTCTGCAACGGACTTTCTAAATTCACGTATGAATTAGTCCGAGCGTCTCGATTAAACCGCACACTACGAGTACTCTGACTATGTAACATACGACTCTGTGTTGAATCAAAAGGACGTATCTGTAACTTTCGCTTAAACCAAGTCATTAACATTAAGTATGTAGCACAGAAGTGTTTTATCTGTATGTATATTGTAAGTATATTATTATTATATCTATTGTATTAAATTATATAATATGAAATATTATATATATTGTTATTATATCTATTGTATTAAATTATATAATATTAAATATTATATATATTATTATTATATCTATTATATTAAATTATATAATATTAAATATTATACACATTATATATATGTATATTATAAGTATATAATATATATTACATATACTAAGTATATTATATATATTATATATACTATGTATATTATAATATATATATTATAAGAAAAACCTTAACTGCAGGGAAACCGATGGTGTAACAATTTGTTTTTCAAATGTACATGAAATCAATATCAAGTTTGCTGAATACCGAAAGTCATTTTTTAAACCACATTTCGATCACACATACGTAAATATTCAATTAACGCGGCAGAATTCTCTTCAAGAGAATAATGCTACAATGCATGTAAATAAATTTAAAATTGGAGGAAGACCACACAAGAGCAAACGAAATTCCTCATTATCGGAAAATAAATTTTGCACTCCATTACGGAGTTATCGATTATTCTTTTTTTTTTTCTGTCTGAATTTAGATAATCAACGACCGATACATTGTTACCGTTTTATCGAATTAAGTTACTTCGATATCTGGATAATCGATATCCCATTGTACATGTAAAATATATGTATATATTGTTTCTGACAGAAATTATTATATCATTTGCAAATGGATACTTGTGTAAAACAATAAAATACCATAATGCGATTATCAACGTAGATACGTGTAACGCCACTTTGTTCGTATCATGATCGAAACGATACAACAAGATTATAGATCAAAGTATTAAGCAATAATACCGCTTGATGTAGCCGAAATTGATATTCATAGTTTTGTATATATATTTGTACAGGCAGAATGTACATTTTCGGTGGCCGTTATACCAAATTGTACATTACAAAACGATTTGTCGAGTGTTTGATAATATATTTGCGCAACTACGTAACTCCGACAATTAGTATCGTAATCTCAAACGAGCTTCTTTAAACACGCTCCAAATTAGTATATCAGCTTTCAAAACGTGTACAACGCTTAAGTTTCTTCAGCACTTGATCAAATGACCGACTTTCGAACGATTGAAAAGCCCCAAAACTGAACATAAATAGACAAACGAGTGTGTGTCTTGCGCGACACGAGTTAGCGTTCGCGTGGCGCTAGTGTCGCGTGGCGGTGGTGTCGCGCCAGCGTTAACGATCACGGCAGCAGCACAATTCCAACATACCTAATTAACTACCACGAAAAATATTTTTGTGAAACACCAAGTAGCGGAGCGTTAACTCGACGCAAAGCAGCAGAACGCGAAGTACGAAAAAAAAAAAAAAAAAAAGAGAAGCTGAACTAGCGCAGTATGTGTAATAGAGAACGGGACGAAGTTGGAGAAATCTGCAAGTGGCACGGGCAAACTACGGGTGTCGCATGTGCCTCTGCAGAAGTCTGCAGTGAGAGCGGCGGTGGTTGCTGCGCTTGAAAATTCCGCTGCGCGATAGCGGGCGGGCAAGCCGTGCGTCTGATGCTCGGATTGCGCAACTCGTGCGACGCAACGAAACTCGATCATCTTTGCCGCATAATAACGCCGCGGCGCGGAGGGGAAAAAAAAAAGCGACGTGAAGGAGCGACGAAATGGAGAGCAAGGTAGAGCGCGTTAAAGGTGACAAATGGCGGTGACGCGGCGCAATCGGAACGAAGCGACGCTGGAGAAGTGCTTGGAAACCGTAGCTCGCGAGACGAGGTCGCCAGACGAAGCGCAATCGCTAGTGAAGAATCTCGAAGAGAGTGAATCTCGAACTCCTTCGCGGGAATCAGTCTCGATCAAACTGGATCGAAATATCGCGGGAGATACGAGTGAATTTGGAGACTCAACTCACCTTCAGGCGTGAGAATGATTATAATCGTTGCTTAATTGTTACACGGTTACGCTCGGTTACCCTCGTTTCAAGATCGATGACGAAACTGACGTTTTATTAATGAGATGAGAGATCGATCGAAAGTTGTCGAACTTCTGGCTCGTTCCAGTTTTTGACGATGGACGGTCGAAGTCAAGGTGAGTTAGTCGATTTCGCGCATGGCAACGAAGCGATGGTAATTATTTTTATATGCGTGTCGCCTTGTACCACCGAATATCGTTGAACGGAAAAATACAAAAGGCGAGACTTTTAAGTAGAAACTGTGTCGCGAGGCAAGTCTTGCCAGTTAGAACGATGACACTTGGCAAATGCTTTCACCGATTTATGTATTTCCCAAATGTCGGAGCTCGGGAAAGCTTATTATTCGGAGAATTTAACGCTAGAAATATATTTATAAAATAACTGGACAGAGTAAAATTGGTGCAAGGTTGTGCGATTCATCACTCTGGTTTCTGAGCAACGAATTCGGAACTGATACTTGATTCAATGGTGTCGATCAAAGATCAATCATCATTCTTTGGTGAAATATTAGTTGATTTGTTGACTCACCTCTTGAGATACGGGATTATTCTTGTTTCGGCTGGTGTTGGATGTGTTATTAATGGAGGAGAGCGTGGTGAGGGTTGCAGTGCCGACACCGCCGACCGTCTTTCCGCTGACCTTGGTACCAGCACCACCGACATCTTTGTGCAACGTTCCAGGACTCTGAAATGAAATATCGACGTGCGTTAGAACAATGCCCAGAGCAAACGTATTTTTCTCTTTTCCCTCTCCCTCTCTTTTTTGTTCTATGATAATGAGGTTGGAACCCAGCGTCGGTTGCATCTCGAATGAAATACGAGGTCGAGGAAAAATTAACAAGCGTCTCTCTTTTCGGAGAGAGCGTCTCTCGTTGGTTGGAGTTTTGCAACGATGTTTCGACGGTGTTCCTTTTTTTTTTTTCAGAAATTTTTGGAGCGTGGCAATACAAGCACCACGGCCGACGTTTATTTACTTTGATGTAATAAAAGTTGTATATTTGTATTTATTTTCGTCTCTGTTAAACTCTAACTCTCACTTTCATCTCTTAGCTCTATATATATATAGAAGATATATATATCATATTATATATCATATGTAGAAGAATATATATATATATATATATATATATATATATATATATATATATATATATATATATATATATAT